ACAAAACACGGTTTCAAATGGTTTAATGGTATATCATTTGATGGAACAAATCTGAAAATATTTCATATTACCTCGTCATAGGAAGCCCTGGGAACTGGGAAGAAGTTTTGGGGAAAAAATTTCTTGCTTCTCATCCTAGGACCTGGTGGCTTGCTATTCCATTCTGCCTGCTATTAGTTAGCAAAAGGGATGAACACTTCTGAAGAGATCAGTTAATTTAGCATAGCACCCATTATCAGGCAAGCCTCTCATTGCTCTAATACAGCGGTTTCTAACTCAAGGCCGTGGGACAGATTCAGCCCATGGGGTGCTTAGATCTGGCCCATCGGGCCACACTAGCAATAATGAAGGACCAGCCTTTGGTGCCTCTGCTAGTGAAAATGGAGTTTGGGAGCTCATTTTCACTGGCAGACCATTCAAGCCACCACAGGTGCCTCCGACACGTATGACATTCCCCAAAGGTTAAACACAACCTTAATGCGGCCCTCAATGAAACCGAGTTTGACACCCCTGATCTAACAGATAGATAGANTCTCTCTTCTTTCTCTCTGTCACTCTCCTTCTCTCTCTTTCTGTCTCTCTTCTTTCTCTGTCTCTCTCTTCTCTCTCTCTTTCTGTCTCTGTCTGTCTCTCTCTGTCTCTCTTCTTTCTCTCTGGGTCTGTCTGTCTGTCTGTATTTATCTCTTCTTTCTCTCTGTCTCTCTCTTCTTTCTCTCTCTCTTTCTGTCTCTGTCTGTCTCTCTCTGTCTCTCTTCTTTCTCTCTGTCTCTCTCTTCTTTCCCTCTCTCTTTCTGTCTCTGTCTGTCTCTCTCTCTGTGTCTGTCTCTCTTCTTTCTCTCTGTCTCTGTCTGTCTGTCTCTGTATTTATCTCTTCTTTCTCTCTGTCTCTCTTCTTTCTTTCTCTCTTTCTGTCTGTCTGTATCTCTCCTTTCTCTCTGTCTCTCTCTCTCTGTTTCTCTCTCTCTTCTTTCTGTCATTCTCTCTTTCTGTCTCTCTTCTTTCTCTGTCTCTCTTCTTTCTCTCTCTCTTTCTGTCTCTCTCTCTCTCTCTCTGTCTGTCTATCTCTCTTCTTTCTCTCTGTCTCTGTCTTTCTTTGTCTCTCTCTTTCTGTCTATCTCTTATTTCTCTCCGTCTCTCTCTTCTTTCTCTCTGTCTGTCTCTTTCTGTCTCTTTCTGCCCCTTTCTGTCTCTCTTCTCTCTGTCTCTCCTCTCTCATTTCTGTCTCTCTCTTCTCATCTCTCTCTCTTTCTCCCCCCTTCTCATCTCTCTCTCTCTCCTTCAGTTGCAAGAAGGAAAATGCTTTATGTAATAGGCTACTGGGGCCTTAAGACATAAGCTTTAGTTTGAGCAGGATGTTAATCCATTTGCTAATAAGTATGCTTGGCCTCTTTTGTGTCTGATGTTTTGGGTGACATTTAGATAACAACAAAAAGCACTGAATGAAAATAAGGGATATTTAACCCAAAATAGTGAGTAGGCTAAAATGAACAAAAAGATTTACTTGGGTTTTTTTTTAAAAAGGAAGAAACTAGCCTTTGTTTAAAAGGATAGTACTTTCATTGTGAATGAATGGGTCTGACATTTTCTCTTAATACCACTTGGGTTTTATTTAGAACAAAGGAGAAATAATATTGCTCTTCGCTCATTTGATCACACAATTCAGTCTTTTAAAGAAGAGATTGGATAACCATTTGTCTGAAGTGATGCAGATTTTCCTGCCTGGGTTGGACTAGAAGACCTCCAAGTTCCTTTCCTTCTCTTTTCTCTTCTCTTCCCTTCTTTCTTCTCCTATCCTATCCTATCCTATTGTCTCCTGATTCCGTCAAATTTCAGAATAGACCCTCCTTCCTTGACAAAGCTAATTTCAAATCAACTTTACTAATTGCATACTGAATCAATTCCACTATTTATCAGTGGCCATTTAGAAAGCTCACTAGATTTAAGAGTGGGAGCTGAATGTTGATGAGGACAGGGGGAAAAATAATATTTTGGCAGAAGGGAACAGTGTTCCATCGTCCCCCACCCTCCCACCAGAACCGATGAAGCTTCTTGGATGAGAAGCAAAACGTCTTTTTCTTCTTCAAGGATAAAACGGGACCTGGATGACTGAGAATCTCCACGGATCTTCATCTCTATCTTTATAGCATGTTTGTTTTCCAACTTTGTGGGAAGATTTATCAGTGCCAACGATTCAAGATTGTTATCCTGCTTCTTAATCTCCTTTCTCCTCTAGGCAAAACAAGCTTCCCTTTCCCATTGCTCAGCATTTGATCATCTCTTTTCCCGTCTTCAGATAATCTCCAATTTCTCTTCCTGTAACCTGGAGGTGTTTTTAAAAAAAGCAACCCTATTTCTATTGATTTCTATTAAATACATTTCTTAGTGCTTAATANGAACCTCTTCTAACCAGTTCGGTAGATTTGACAAACCGGTTCTACCGAACTGGTGCAAACTGGTAGGAACCCACCTCTGGGATGGACACTTCAGTTGAATGAATCCATGGTGCATTTGAAAGCTCTCGAGAAGATCTGGTTGGTAGAAGCAAACCAGAAACCAGCTAAGCTGCTTTCAACCAGGAAAAGAGCTCTGAACAGTACTTGAATTTTTGAGCAGTTGTGCTCTGTTTAGATCAGTAGTGTCCAAACTTGGCAACTTTGACCTTTGAAGACTTCAACTCCCAGAATTCCTGAACCAGCATGGAGGTGCATTATGACTGGCTGGGGAAGATGGCGGGAGGTAGAGAGGAGAAAGTGGGTGGGTGGGAAAACACACAGAGAACATTCCCCATAACAAGTAGATTTGAGGATGGACACTTTACTGCAGTTTAATGAATACGTGGTGGATTTGAAAGATCTCGAGAAGATCAGGTTGGTAGAAGTAAATCAGAAACCAGCTAAGCTGCTTTCAACCAGCAGAAGAGCTCTGACAGTGCTTGAATTTGAGCAGTTGTGTTTTGTTAAGATCAGGAAGGTCCAACCTTGACAACTTTGACCCTTGTAGACATCAACTCCCAGAATTCCTGAGCCAGCATGGAGGTGTATCATGGCTGCCTGGGGAATTCTGGGAGCCGAAGTCCATAAGTCTTAAAAGTTGTCAAAGTTGGTCACCCCTGGATTAGATGGTCACAGTGGCACGATATATCCTTGAGGTGTCTTCCTCCAGAAACTCAACTTTTGGTGGAATCTGTTGTTGCAATCACACCTTCAGAAATGCTGGTTTGCTGACCTCAGAGCTCAAGAGTAGAGAATGTCTTCCCCAAGTCTACATTCAGGTATGGCTTAAGCTCCGGCTACCCTGAGAGCAGAACCATTTCAATTGCCAGAAGGATTTGGATCATTGGGTTGCAACTGGTTGTACCTTAGTTTTGACCTTTGACAAGAATGGCTCCAAGCTTGACACAAATAAATATTGAAGGGTTAGTTTTTCTTGTCTGTTTGTCAAATGCATCCATCTCTCTTCTCTTTCTCTCTCTCTCTCTCTTTCTGTCTGTCTGTTTCTGTCTGTATCTCTCCTTTCTCTCTGTCTCTCTCTCTGTCTCTCTTCTTTCTCTCTGTCTCTGTCTGTCTGTCTGTCTGTCTGT